AATCAGGGTTAGGGTTATGCTGTGTTTAGGGTTATGTTGTGTTTAGGGTTATGGCTGTAATGAATTAGGGTACTGCCTCCTTTTTATGGTCCAATTCAGGCACTGACTAAGCCCAATGTGGAAAGTCAAACAAAGTCTCAAGCTATGCAGATTTAGACGGAATATGATGGAAATTAGGATGCAGCTTCAACAAAGAGAGGGAAACTACTTATAACAGCGGCGGTCGACAGTGGCATAAGACTTATAATGAGAACTGTGAAACTTCAGCTTCCTTTCATGCATACTGTGTTTACTTAGCGTGGGAGCTGGGAAAGTTGCATTCAAATAAAATGTATTTAAGTCCTCCACTGAATCAACCAGTGAGCAAAGCGTAGTGATGTTATGAGCAGAGGGGTAGAATATGTGTTTAACTTTTAGGATAGATAAACTTTATATCATTATAACATTTTAGGTCCCAGATTGTCCCACACATATTCTTTATCCCACCACAGACCAGACCAGAACTAAAGGCAACAACTTACCCTCAGTATTAAATCATCTTTAGTTCCTCAGTACTGTAGGTTTGTTCGTGCTGCTTGGTATCGACCTTTTATTGCAGCACCATCTATCTTTATGTCTTTCTGATAATCTTCCTCTCGTGGTCGTATAAACAGCGACTCTGGGACTCTGATGGTGGAAGCAGTGTGATGTTGTCATAGCACCCCGCTGCATATCCTGGACCCAGAGACAGACTGAACAGGTGGCTATTGTCACCGTTGAGAAGTAAACAATCGGACTGTTTCCTCTCATTACGCTTCTGCGTCCCATTTAATCTCGCCTCTCAGAAACTCTCACGCTTGTTACGAAGGGTTTAGTCTAAACATCCAATTAGAATCGGCTGAGTGGACAGCTCAGAGTCTGGCCAATCAGCAGACTATACGGGGAGAACAGCTGGCTTTAAGGTACACATCGTTATGTAATTGATTTTTGGCTTTTTTCTAAAACAATGAAAGCTTCTTTTCCTTTTTCTTTCTTACTGAGAAAGTCAATTCGGAGCCAGTTTTCTTTATGTAAAGCAATTTAACTGAGTTGAAATTGACACACGCACAGACTGACAACTGCAGCTCAGGCACAGACTCATGATGAATGTCAGCGGGTTTATGGTCCCTCAGTCATGAGAGAGGGGAGAGAATGCAAAGCTCCTCTATCGGCATTCAGCTGCACAGTGAACGCCGCTAACAGGGTCGAGGCTGGGGAGACGTTCATTAGCTGCAGAACGTAGACCCTCTGAATTTCTCAGGCTGTGTAGTTTATTTTACTTTCTCTTTGATCAGTTCATTTTAATTTTTGTGTTACTTATTCATTTTGATGAGCAGGGAGGTAGCGTAAGGTCTCCCTTTGCTTCGGCTCCTCGTCGGTCACGGAGTAAACTGGTTACAGTTTATTTTCTTTTTTCTGTGTGAAAACTTTCTGTTAGAAGTGATGAGTAAGTGAATGAACGGATGTTACGTGCAAATTAACTTAAACCTGAAACAGAATTATACATGCTGCACGCAGCCGAGCCTGTTTTCCTCAGTTCCTTATGCTCCTAATTGGCATTAAGAGATTATCCCGAAATGGAAAACCTGTGAGATTCCAATTTTTTTGGTTTCTATCTTTAATCGCTGAGTTGCTTCATCGCTGTCCGTCCTTCATCCTTGCCAGTCAACCACCTGTCAGTCAAACAGTGTGGGCTTTCACGTCTTCTTACAGGGATTTTCTTTGGGGTGCATTAGAGCTCGATGGAACGACTGCATGTTTATTCAAATTTAACGGGCTCATCCAGAAAGCTTTATTTTCTCCTCCTGGTTTGTTTTATGCCTTGTGAATGACACTGGAGTTCCACTGGAAAAAATGGGTTAAATTTTACCGAACGTTAAAGTATTGTGGTTTTAAAGTTCATGATTTAAAGAGTAACAGACCTCATGTGCCTTCCAGGTGTCCCCATAGATGTCCTGTCAATAATAATTAACTAATAATAAGGGGATAATGCTTCCAGGCCTGCAGAGTTTCTTTGAATCATATGACAAATGATTTGCCTGCATAATTAAATAATCTTTATGCTATTTCAGCTTTGCTTCTAAGAAATTATTTTTTTCCCCACGACTGACTTTAAAGCAACCTCTTGTCTATTATTTATTAAACTGACGACCCCTAATAATAATAATTTTATGGATATTTCATATTATATTAAAACTGTACAATGAACCCAAACAGTGAACTCAGTAACTGCAGGATGTTTGTGTAAAACCAGTGATTTTGGATGAATTTTGAGCAGATTATTTCCTGTTTAGGGAACTTTCTATACAATTCTTTGTCTGTAATATGTATTTTTAATCATTTTAAACAATCATAAAGACTTAATAGGCTTATTTATTGTCAAATTCAATGTTTTTTCTTGTCCCTGACGCTCAACCATTGTTTTCTTTTCTTCACAGAAGTGAACCGAATGCTGAGGTTTAGGCCTACTGTGTGTATTTTTTAAGTTTTTTTCTAGCACACCTTAAAATCAAGAAGGCCTTGCGACCCCCTAAGAAGGTTTGGCGACCCCTAGTGTTGGGAACCACTGCTTTAAAGGACCAGTGTGTAGGATTTTGTGGCATCTAGCAGTGAAGTTACTGCTTGTATGTGTATTTGACAACCTGGGAATGAGAATGGACTGTGAAGCGTGGAGGAAAAACTACAATGGCTGCGAAACACGAAAACACCAAAGGTCCTATCTCCTGTAGAAATATGAGTCCATGGAAGGAAATTTACATTGTCTGTAGATAAAAACGGCTCATTCTAAAGTAATAAAAGCACAATGGTTCCTATATTCAGGTGATTACACACTAATGAAAACATACCTGTGAATATTATATTCCATTTCTGCCAATGTTACACACTGGACTCTCTTTAAGTTTAGTGAATCTCTTCAGTGGTTCAGCACTTCCAAAACACACAAATGATGATAAAACCAGATTTCTCTTCTGCTCTCCTGAATGAAAACACATTTTTTGGCAGACGTGAGCTAACAGTGTTATCTAAAAATCACCAGCTACAGCTGACTCCAGGCGTCGGGCACCGTTTGTTCTGCCAGACAGAATCAACACAGATGACCTGGAGTCTGAACGTTGGCTAAAAGTTTTTCTGACATGAGCCCTCCTCTGCTTTTACTGCGTACTCATTTCGAGTAACTGAGTTTGGGTTTTAAAATCCATGGTGCTGAGTCGGATCAGGCTGTCCTGCAGCCCCTGTTCAGACAGATGAGCTTAATATACCGCTGTGGCCGGGAGCCTGTTCACACCTGAGTCCCCTCTGTCCTCTGGTGCACTGAGGCTGCAGACAACACCCACAGACTGGAACATACACAGGGGCAAATACTATGCTATAAGTTACCTGAATAATCTGACAGATTTCTCTGAGTTTGAACATTGTTGGAAACATTTGGGACAATGGACGAACTCAACTACATAGAGAACAGAAAGCCAGAGTTTATAGACATGTAAAGTGCAGTAATGCTCTATATTATAGCTTTAAACTCTATTCTTTATCAGACATTTACTCCAAACTCCATTTACTTTATTAGGAGTTTACAGCGATAATAAAGGAACATTTGAATTTTAAAAACATGTTCGGGTGCCAGCGATCCGGTTTGATGTCAGTATCCATTCATCCTTTCTGAAGTGCCCTTGAGCAGCAGAGAGACACTGAACCCTCAGAGAAAAAGAGACGGCTAAAGAAAAAGGCTTTTTCTGTGTACTTTGGGTGGCAGTGTTCATCCGTTGGATAATTAAACCCTCACATGTGTTTTGGGTGATGAGAACATTTTGACAGCCCAGTCTGCTGCTTTTAGTCACAGGAGGCTTATGGGATGTGTGTGTGTGTGTGTGTGTGTGTGTGTGTGTGTGTGTGTGTGTGTGTGTGTGTGTGTGTGTGCACTGTTTATCCTGTGAGGAGGATCAACACGAGGAAAGGGCAGATCATGTGTGAGAAACAGTGGCATAACAGCTGGAGGGGATCTTAATTCATGAAAAGAGAAGAAGCCTGAAGACTGAATCTGCTCCATCGTTCCCTACAGGAACTCATATTTTCATTATCTATCATTCGGCCAATTATTTGGTCATGAAAACGTTTTTGTGGAGCCCTAAGGAGATGTTTGTAATTTTCCTCTTTCTTTTTTTAAATTTATTTCCAGAAGCCTGAAGATATTCAGTTTATGTCCACATAAAGAGTAAAAAGAAGCAAATCCTCACATATTAAACACTATATTTGGGGCAATATTTGGTGTTTTTTACCTGAAAAATGGCTTAAAAAATAATCGACCATCGAAATAGTTGCTGATTAAATTCCTAATTGATTAATCGATTGATTTTGTATAATATAACTTATCAGAGCTGAAACAATCAGTCAATAATCAATTAGTTTCACCATTAATTAATAATTTAAGCTCATTTTTTAAAGCAAATATACTCAAATGTCCTCCAACTGCAGCTTCTCATATGTGAAAATTTGCTGTAAACTGAACATATTTAGTTTTTTATTGCTTAGTGATTAATCGTTTAGTCCAACCTGACTCCTAAACCTGAAGATATTTAATAAAACTCAATATAAAACTAATAAAAACAACAGAAACTCAAACACAAAGCAGAGTTTTATTATGATTCCTAATATAATGATCCAGTGAGTTATTGCCACCTCGTGCTGCTGGGGGGGGACCGTGAATAGACCAATCAATTAAACCCTCAATGGAGAAGATAATGAGCAGATGAATTGATAATGAAGATAATTAGCTCGCAGCCTTATAATTAATCACCACAATTAAAAGAGCTTAATCCCAAATTCCAGCCCACTGTGCGCCACAGAGGTTATCATTAACTATTATTATATTATTATAGAGCGGCATTTAAGGTGTGCACTGACACTCTGAGCTTATATTAGTCTGTTAAATCTTCTAAAAAAAGTCTTTTTAGTTTGTATTTAATTCATTTAAAGCGACTCACCAGGAGCGGACACATGCAGACACACAGGCTGACCAGGAGCCAAAGTTTCATCCTCCCTCCGCAGTCAGGGGTCCTCACGGCACAAACTCAGCCTCTGTCCCGGACTCTTCATTTAAACTCCACTCCGGACTTTTTCCATCCAAACAGCATCTTCTTATCGGGATATTTGATTAATTCCATGAATGTGGGAAAGAAAACCCCGCCTTTAAAGAGAGAGAGAGATAAAGAGAGAGGGATGGAGAGAGAGAGAGAGAGAGAGAGAGGATGCCCCTGAATCCACGCTGGTCACTTGCACAGCGCTGAATGTGCGCACACACATCAGTTTCCCGCAGCTGCCTTCAGCGCGTAAAGCTCACAGTGCCGAGAGCGCGCACACTTCCGCTGCGGGATTTCAAAATAAAACAACTTATTGAGGGTTTACTGTGAGGTAGACTCCCATCTAGTTTCCGATTTATAACAAATTCAGTATTATTTTATTAATTTAGGCACCACAACATTCAGCTGCAACAGTTAGAAAAACAAGTTAAATTGAAGCATTTTAGCATCTTTGCATTGACTTCCTGTCTGTTATTCATTTACTTTTATTTTATTTTTTTACTAGTTTGGTTCAGCTTTAAGTGGTATCAGTACATTAGTCCACATTGTCCATCCTCCACAGAGGACCACAGTGGTATATGTAGGCTGTACGAGAGAGCAGGTTCAGTCCGTTTAAACTGCATTTAAAATGTTTTATCTCTTCTGTCACTTTCGCACTTTTAAGATTTGTAATATTTTGTCCTTGTTGCACTTTTATTACCCTAACTGGTGTATGAGATATAGAAGTAAAGTTGCCTTGCCTATAGGATGGATCAATCTGCTGATTATTGGATCTCTTATTCTGATTGTTTGGGTTGTTAAATGTTAGAAAATAGTGAGTTGACAATCAACAATTCCCCAGAAACACCTTCAAAATACTTTTTTTAAGTCCAAAATATAATATTTTATAAGATCTCCATAAGCTTTGTGTGCACAAATCTTATAAAGCATAAAGCGTATAAAGCAACAAGTAACTCAATCTGTCACATAATTGAAGTAAAAAGCAGAAAGTGGATAAAAAGAAAAGACTTTTCGGGGATATTTCTGTGGAACTAAATAAATAATGTTTCTTCTTGTGACTCCTCTTCTGGCCTAAAATCCTTGAAATGAAACAATCTAAGAAAGAAAAACAACTCCTGCTTACGATGCACAACCTCTTACAAGGGGTTGCAAGTAGAAATTCAGTTGGGTCCACAGAAGTTTCTACAGTAGCCCAGAACAGACAAACCTAATACTTGTATTAATAGACACCATTAAATCCTACAAACTGGACCTTTTAATGGTTAAAAGCACCTCAACTGAAGAACAGCTATTGCTGTGAAAAGGAGAGAAAACTTTCAAACAAAACTTCAACAACTCTTCAGTCTCAGTGTTGTCTTTAAAATTGATTTGACTCTGTAGGAAATTGCTTTGGGAGTAAACTGACAGCAGAATAATTGAGACTGACTGAGAGAGGAAAGGTTTTAAATAAAGTAAATACAGCAGTGGACATGCAGACGCAAACCACACTCATTTTTATGCACAGACTCCCTTTTTTTCCAATGTATATTGAATAGGTCTGACACTTCCAATGCCTCTGTGCAGTGGTTCAATAACGGGGCTTTGTCCAGTCCTCTGTGGCTCACAAACAGTGTGTACCCTCAAACAATACAGTTTGGTTTTTTTAGAAGTTGTAGGTGTTTAAATTTGTATTTTTCTCTGGAACACTTTGACGCTGTGGGAGTGAGACTCAACAATCGACTATCTTTCTCGGCTCTGATTGGTTGTTTTCATTGCGGCTCGGTGGATTCCTGTAGATAACGTTAGGAGCGACAGGAGGAGCCACAGGAAGCTGATTATTTCACAGATTATCTGTCTCATGTGCGACTGTCAGGATATAGTGAAAGTTTCAGAAAATGTGACAAAATGCAACTAAAACTACTTTGTTAAGATCATGGCTGGGGTCCTCAAATATCTACGCAGTTTTGCCACGCCCCCTCGGCGTCTGTGGGAGATGCCTCTTTAACACGTTTTTAATGTTGTGGAACGGTTGCAGTTTGGTTAGTTTTAGGCAACTAAGCTACTTGTTTAAGTTCAGAAAAAAACACGATTTGACTTAAAATAAGTCTGTTATGTGATGCAATGTAACTGTGGAGATGGGTGTGGTTTGCACTCATTCAGTAATCACACTCACTCACCTCTCTTACGGCAGCACTGTGCTGGTCCTCGAGGCCGACACTCATGACAGTGAAGACACAACCGGAGCAGACCTTAATGAACTTTTGGAAGCAGGCTAAGTGGTGCGTTAACAGTGTGTGCGACAGAAAAAAGAATAACGTTGTCTTGTTCTTTCATCCCTGTTGTTGGTCTGTGTGCTGGGAGAACCCTCGGTAGTAGCGAGTCTTGCTACAGTAACATTATGAAACATAAAACTAAGGTTTCCACCCGAGTCTCCTGAGTGAAAGTGCTGTGTTAGTCTGACCCATCCATTCGCCTCCTTATGTGGATATTCCCGCTCTTTACACTACATCACCTGCAGATGGGTTACATTACAGCCCGCTGCGCCTCAAACTGACGGCACTTTGTGCGTCTGTATGGAGATGTAAGGGGTGTGACAAAACGTCGCCCTGAGAATCAGGACGTTGACTCTGGAGATGCAAACACAGATCTTCAGGGTCCAGTCCAAACCCTCCACCCGGACCTCCTCCTGAAAGAGTTCTGCAGCCCTAAAACCTTCCTTATAATAATCTTGTAAAATACTTAATTGCTCTTTGTTTCCTTTTGTAGTTCTTGGCCTGCTGTTAACCCTGCACTTCACTTTAATTACCATTAAACTACAGAGGGTGTTTTAATCCAGTCATCCTTTAATCCCCACCATTTCTTTCTCCTGTCCAGACAATCAGAGGCCAGTGTGACATGTTTCCCCCACAAGAGATGACAGCTGAGCAGGAACACAGGGCGCTGGGTCAGCCTAGGGTTTGTTTGTGTGACTCACACTGTGAAGTCCAAACGCTCAGATTCCCCAGTAACAACCCACAACCTGGAGCCAGGCATTAAAGTGGCGTTATCAACGAGACCACAACGTCTCTGGAAGCTCGGTGATGGTAAATTGTTCTGTATTTTGTTGATCTGATGATTCATTTACAGGACGATGAACACCAATGTACGTGCACAGTTAAAAGAACACCAGAATGTCACAGGACTTATTTCCATTACTGTGCTTGTTGTACGAAGTCACAAAGCACAAAAAGCAGTAACATACAGAAAGTATTCGCATTACGAGGGATTATTCTGACAACGGCTTAAATTACAGACGGATTAATGTAGGGAGAGATCAAATCACAGATAAACGGCGGTTAACTGTGTTAGCATCCCGGCTGGTTAACTGTCTGTGTGGCCATCGGGCTATTTTTAGCATCATGTGTCTCAGCTTTCCAGTCATTCCCAATTTATTCAATTCCAACACTGTTTATGAACCCCAGTCTGCAGAAGTATTCAAACACATGTTTATACCACATGCTTAAATCTGCATGTTTTTTGCCCCAGACTGCGTGGGATTAGTATAAAGTGGGCATCCCTGTAAAGGGGAGACTCATGGGTACCCCTAAGATCCATTTTCATTCAGATATCTTGAGGTCAGAGGTCAAGGGATCCCTTTGAAAATGGCCAGGCCAGTTTCTCCATCACCAAGCCTTATTGTCGGAGCGTTATTTAGCTTCCTTTTCAACTTGCTAGCACAAACACCAATGACGTTTAAACTGAATTCTTCTGAATGCTGAGAGAATGTAGTGAGACAATCCTGCTCGGTTCTCCTTTGTGTCTCCACTTCAGTGAGCTTTTCAGATTTGAGCTCATAGAAAGTCTGTCTTTGATTATAAAGTAAAGGTCAGTGAACCGCCACGATGAAATAGAAACCATCTTATCAGGAAACTGGAACCTCAAACCCTCTTGAGATAAAACTTTCTTGCTTCTGAACAGCAGAGCAGACACACACACAGAAAAACCTCGAGCTCTCTCCTTCCTGAACGCACACACACTCTCCGGTGTGTACATGCTTTCTGTCTCGTACAGTAAACTCCTCAAAGCAGAGCGAGTATTGGCACATATTTACACAAAGCCGAAGACCATGGGCTGCCCTGCTGTGGGCGAAAGTATCAACACTACATTCAAATATGCAGACAGAAAATGAAAGCAGTCTCTCCCCGTCCAGTTGCTCCAAGTGCTTTATGGCTTGTGTATAAACTGGGATTTAAACAGCGCCGTGGTGTGAGCGTACTTTTAAACAGAGTCCTATTTCAGATGAGGGGGAAGAAAGTATCGTCTAATCTTCGTCACGTAGTTGTTAGGTTTGTTTTTTGAATCCTCTGTGCCGGAAGGAGAGAACCAAGGTGTGGTGGGCAGAAATTAAATGATAACAGTTAATGAAAGTTTGATTGAGTTTGATAAATTTGCTACTAAAGTTTACCTTGTTTTTTGGGGAAGTGAATAAACTGATAAAGACAGAGCAACAATTTAATAAAAAGAGCTTTGATTTGATTAACCTTTGAGCTTAACTCTCACTGATTATCGTTCCAGTTTAGGGTTTTGCTGCGAGGGACAAACTGAGCAATGTGCCAACTGTACTGTGGCTTTTGGGGAAACTAACTTCTACTAACGGTATGCGATTTGGCGTGCAGACTGAGTAAGAACTTTTCCAATCAATGAGTGAAGTTTGTGATACTGCACAGCCACACTTCGATTGGTAATGGCCAGAATGCCGGTATATGCGCACTATTCTCGCCATCATCTTTTCTTTTAATGCAATTAAGAGGAATTATCAATTATTAAAGCCCGGTCCTTGACAGACGTAACATCTCGACCCTTTTTGAAGTTTCCGTTGGCTGTAGTAGAAACAAACAGAAACAAAGTCATTTTCAGAACCTGTACCTTTTCAATTTTACTTAAAGAAGTTGAATCCATATTTCTTCTTTTACTAGAGTCTTTCTGTACTTAAATAAAGTGTGTGTGCTTTTGCCACCTCTGCAACATTATACGTATTTATATATTATTTAAAATACCAATTTGGGTGGAAAAAGTCTGAATGAATTGTGAAGTGAAAAGAACTGCGACAATTTATCCTGATGAATGTCTTTTTCTCATCTCCCAGGCTGTTTTCAAATAACTTAGCAGTACAAAAGGTCAATAGAAAACCAATTGTAACTCCTTGTTCATAACATTCAGACAGC